AAAAACCTATGGCTCTTTGCCTTAACTACACATTAAAGATACATAGTTACCAATTCAGGGACATCAAACAGCCCAAATAGTCCAAGGGATTTTGAAGGGAAATCCCATCTTTGCACACCCATGTGCTCCAAGTCACCAAGCAGGTCTTTGTTTTCCGAGAGACAGCATTTCAGGTGCAATAAAACAGACAGCAAGAGCCTCAGAGCTAAGAGAACAAGAGACTCGAGAACAAGGAGAGCTCACTCCCAGAGGGATCAAACAATTATACCCCAATCTAATCATGATTAGCCGTGGGCATTCGGCCAATCACGAGCAGCAGGGGTGTGTGGCCAATTTCAGGTTGCCATAGCTGCACATAAGGTGTGTGTATAGATTGGCTAGAAGTTTGGAGACCCCGCCTGCAGTCATGTGACCCCAAACTCCAGCTACTTCATGTGTATGTGACTTGTCGCATGTGGGCCAGGAAGTGAAGCCATGAGGTCTGGCTTTTGGCATGAAGGTGTGAAAGAATGTGGGCTCACCATTTGGCTTGCAACAGGAAATAAGACACAGCATGTTATCATAATGTAATCACAGGAAAAGGCATGTGGATATAGAATGCAGAAAGCATTTTTTCTATACAGGAGTGCAGATCCTCGTGCACAGTTGCACAGCCAATAAGATCTCCAGTGGCCAAGCCCTGCTGGGCAAACACCCATTGTAGCCCTGCCCACTTTCTAAAAACACTTGGGCACTAAGAAAGGTGTGGGTCACCATGGGGCCCACGGGCAACATTTTGGGGACCCCTAGCTTAGCGTGCAGCACTGTTTCTTGTATGCATTAGCTGGTTCTTACTGCATTGTGTTCTGATTTCTGCAATCCAGTTTTTGCATTTCTTATGTTGTGCTTTGTACTGTTCTTATTGCATGGTTTTCCAGTCTTGCAATCCAGTCTTAGTACCCTGCTGATTGTATGTCTTCCACTGTTCCTATTGCATTTTTAAGCTCTTTTCTAGTCTGCCCTGAGCCTCAGTGAGAAAGGTGGACTATGAATAAAGTAAGGAAATAAACAGTTGACCCAGCTGTCTGATTCTCCTCAAGGCACTTATGAAGCTGCCGTATGATGAGTCAGAAAGTAGAATTCTTGGGTCCGTCAAGGTCAGTCTTGTTTACTGTGTCTGGCAGCTGCTTTCCAGGGTCTCAGGCAGTGGTCTTTCACATCACCTGCTGCCAGGTCATTTTAACTGGAGGTGCTGGGGATCAAACCTGGTGATGGAATATACAATGTCTGGTGTACAGAGAAGAAGCGGAGAAGACCCTGAAGAAGAAGACAGATAGGATAGGAAGGTCTTTTCTCTCCTGTTAAGTGTCGTTCCTTCTCTCTCTTGTTAAGTGTCATACCTTGTCTGTCTACAGACTGCTACTCTTATGGCAATTTACCCCTTCTTCTCAGAAGTTCTCTCTCTCTAGTGACGTAGTTAGGACCCTATCTCTGTCTCTCCTCTGTATTATCAAGTATGTTAGTTCATAAATAAACCTTTATCTACACTTTAATCAGGTTGTGCACTGTGTTAATTACTCTTCCAATACCTGGGACCTTCTGCAGGCAAAGCAGGTGGTCCAAAGACCCCCATCCCCCTGAGATCACAGGAGAAAGCAGCTTTGCATGTTCCAAGCAGGAAATACATTTTTTTCCCCCAGTAACATGAAGATTTGTCCATTCTGCGGGTAGAAATTATTAAGCCTGTTTCTGGTTATTCAGATTTGCAACTCGCGGAATCAGTTTATCCCAATCTGAATTGACGCCCCTGTTGAACAGACACCTAATTGAACTGGCGACATGGTCCTCGATATACTTTCTGTTGACTGCAGCTAAGACTGACAATGTCTTGTTCTTTGTTATTACCCAAGGACCCTGTGCCCCCGGAACTGGTCCTTCTGCTTCAACAGTCCCAGGATCCTTTGCTCCAGATGTTATTTCCTGCATCAGCGACGAGCCAAAATACAAACTCAAACGATGTCAAGACTCAGACAAAACCAGTAGTAGTAACAGTGGTGTCTAAATTCAAGGTTTGTCACGGCTTACAGATTTTGGCCGTCTGTCTTCATCAGCACCTAAACACATTGTCATTGTTTTCCAAGTTGCCTTCCCCAGCAATGAGGGCTTAGACGCTCATGTCTGATAAACACCACCAAAGCTGCAGTTTTCAGGCGTGAAGGCCCAGCTTGTGTTGTCCTTTACAACTGTCAAATTTTAGTAGGTGAATAACTACAGTGCTGGAGATTGACACTTTTTGGTTTTGTGGGAACTCTCTCCAGACTTGTTTTCTGGGTTGCTCTGGGAAGGGGGGGGGGTAGCTGTGTCATCAAGTTGCTGCTCAGGTATGGCAAACCCAGAGGGCTTTCAAGGCAAGAGATGTTGAGAGGTGGTTTGCTATTGCCTGCCTCTGCATTGCAACCCTGGGCTTCCTTCGTGGTCTCCCATCCAAGTACCGACCAGGACCGACCCTGCTTAGCTTCTGAGATCTGATGGGATCAGGCTAGCCTGGGCCATCCTGGTCAGGGCATTAGTACTTAGAAGACCAACAGAATTTTCCAGGGGATAACCATTTGTGAGTCAAAGCTCCCTTTGTCAGATACCAGGTATACAGTAGACAGTTATTGCTGACCTTTTCCTTGAAGAACCTTCAGTCAACATCTGAGGAACGCCCCCCTCCCAGGTTTTTGCAGAACAGTTTTAAAAACATGTTGTCGAAGGCTTTCACGGCCGGAGTTCATTAGCTGTTGTAGATTTTCCAGGCTGTGTGGCCGTGGTCCTGGCATTGTAGAACCTGACGTTTTGCCAGCAGCTGTGACTGGCATCCTCAGAGGTATAACACAGAAAGATGGAGTACTCTCTGTGTCAATGTGAGAAGATATAAATTACCTGCCTACCATTTTTCTTCTCACCTTGACACAGAGAGTATTCCATCATTCTGTGTTATACCTCTGAGGATGCCAGTCACAGCTGCTGGTGAAACGTCAGGTACTACAATGCCAAGACCATGGCCATACAGCCTGGAAAATCTATAACAATTAGCGTTTTAAAAACCATTGTGCAGAAGAGAATAGATCCATCAGTGGCTGTCATCCCTGGTGTCTAAATAGAACACCCATGGTCAGAGGCAGTATATCTCTGAACAACAGTTCCATGGGGAGGGAAAGTTCCCTGTCTCCATTCCCTGCTTATGGGCTTCACAAGGCACGTGGGAAACCAAATGCCGACCTAGATGGCCCTTTGGTCTGATCCACCTGGGCTCCTCTGATGCGCCCACAAAGCAGAATAGTCATCACTGCCCTCTCCTCCATCACACTCTCTCTGTAGGGCTCTCTAGAGAAGCTGATGGAGATCCTGAACAGCACCACACCTCACTACATCAGATGCATCAAGCCGAATGCAGATTGCCTGGCCGCCGTTTTCAGGAAGGACGAGGTAACGCTGGCCCCAAGCAGTGGTGATCAAGCTGATTGTGGCTGAGTCTGGCAAATGGTGGTTGGCACACAACTGACTGATTCCCCCCCACCCCCTCCCGGCAGTGCCACTGGAAGCTGACATGGGTGACTGAAACTGCTGGCACAGAGGTCACACGGATTATGTTCCTGATGAAGGAACCTAAGTGTCAAACTCAGGCCTTACTTGTCATAGAACGTTGTCTGGTCAAACTCAGGCTCTGTTGTATTAGGGGTTAACTAAGTTCTCAGAAGGAGCTGCAGTGGCTCAAGTGGTTAAGACGCTGAACTGCAGGCTGTGGAAGGTCAGTAGTTCAGCAGTTCGAGACCCGAGTGTGCCACATGATGGAGTGAGCTCCCATCTCTAGTTCCAGCTCCTGCCAACCTAGCAGGTCGAAAGCAAGAAATTGCAAGTAGATAAATAGGTGGGAAGGTAACAGCGTTCCGTGCGTCTTGGTGTTTAGTCATGCTGGCCACATGACCACGGAAACATCTTCAGACAGCGCTGGCTTTTCGGCTTTGAAACGGAGATGAGCACCGCAACCCTAGAGTCGGACTTGACTGGCTTTCGAGCAAGTGAACCTTTACCTTTTAAGTTCTCAGAAGTGCTCATTCCACTGTTTTCATCTACATGCTGTTTATCTTCTTTGCTAGGAAGGGGGGGGAGTGGATGTGTGTGTTTGAATGTCTGCTTAAACTTGAATAGCACCAGCTTGGAGTAGTCTGCAAGACACTGGGAAGTGTATGATCTCAGCATCCACCATGACCTTGTAATGTAGGGAGCTTCTAGATAAATGTTACCGTTAGTTGCAGGTGCTGGGGGCAGCCACAAGGGCAGGCTTTGAACTTTGGTGGGCTGAATGAGAATATTGATTGGGTAGTTGGCATAGGGGGGATGTCTTGTTGGTAGTATAGGGTCGGACCTGGCATTCGGGTGTCAGTTCCGACACAGAATCTGTCTATGCTGGGAATCTCTCTTCCTCTGCCAAAGCTGACCTGTCTCCCTCTGCAAAAGCTTGACCTCCCAAGACATTTTAGAGACCCCTGCTGTTTGATCGCCTAAGGCGATGGTGGTTCATCACAGGCAATCAAGCAAATGGCTATGGGGCAATAATAATATTTTAAGCATTTTTATATAGTGCTTTTGCATGCTAGGGCTAACTCATGACGTGCCTAACAGCCCAGCATGGCAGGGGAGCATTGAACTGGGGGCTTCCTAATTTGTAGCTCAGCCTGCTAACTGCTGTGCTAACACCAGCTCTTGTGTGTGTCTGTTTTTAAAACCAATGTGGTGTAGCGATTGGGCTGAGATTGGTGAGAGTTGAGTTCTAGATCCCCCTCTGCCCTGAAACTCACTAGATGTTCTTAGGCCAGTCATTCTTTCTCTCTCAGTCTAGCCCTACCTTGCAGGGTTGTTGTGAGGGCAGTGGGGGAAGAAATTCCCACCGGGGCACGAAGATCCCTGGATAACCTTGGGACAGACAATCTTTCCCGGCCTAAACAGCCTCACAAAGGGGGTTGTGAAGATAAAACTGGGAGAGGGGAGACTGTATATGTTTCCTTGAATTACTTGGTGGACGGGCGGGATGAAAATCGAATGAATAAATGATCAATAAAACCATCCTTACCTGGCAGGTTCTGTGTCAGCTGGAGGCATGTGGCATCGTGGAAACAATCAACATCAGCGCAGCCGGCTTTCCAATCAGGTACGGCTGCAAAAATTGCATTTCTTCCCACATTGTGAGACGTCCCCATTCCTCCCTTGTACCCACATCGCCTCCCTCCGCTCCCTTTGCTGTTCTCTCTTCCAGCAGTTGGAACCAGGGTCAGAGGTGGAAAATGGTCAGTAAAATCAGTAAAAGTCAGTTTTTTCATCTTGGTCAGTAATTTGTCAGTTTTTTTTTTTTAAGTTGGTTTTTTAAAAGTCAGTATTTCTTTGATTTTTGTGAATGCATTTTGTGTTTTTTTGTTTTCATTACTGCATTTTTGGGGATACATGATGACTCCCCAGTGAGAAGACAGATTGTTTTCAGTTCAGTAATGAAGTACTTTAAGACTCGGTTCCTAAGAGTAAAAATGATTTGGTGAAATCTTCCACAAAGTATAGAAACATAATTCACCTCTTAGAACATGAGACAATGAGAGCAGAGGTGATGGATATTGTGGGATTCAACATGGCACAGGCTCATGCCAGGAGGGGTTGAGAAAGCAATGGAAGAAGAGGCCAAGAAAAAAAAAAACTGCTTGTGGATGCAGTGCAGAAAACTGTTGAGAAACAAAAGAGTTTGTGAATAACTTCTTTTTTCATCAAAAAACCAAAGATAAAGTAAAAGCATAGTCTTACCTTACAGTAATTATGTTTTGTTGTCATAATTATTATTTTATGTGTGGTTTTTAATATGTTTTTGCTGTTTTGCTGTTTTATTATCTGCAGTATATGATTATTTTTAAAAGGGAATCTTTTTTGCCTTAAATTTTGTACAATAATGAAAATGTCCTATCTTCATTTAAAACATTCAATAAAAAGGTGTGCAATCCTTTTATCTGGATCACATCTGACTATGGGGTTGGCTATCGAGATGGTGGAGGCCAGATAATCATTTTTAATGAAGACCTAGTTTTACTTTTAAAATGCTAGCTTATCAATAGGCTGACATTAAATTATTCAGCAATTTGTCAGTTTTTTGTCAGTATTTGGTCAGTTTTTTTGAATTTTGGTCAGTAAAATCAGTATTTTTGACCCTCTGACTAGTTTCCACTCCTGAAACCTAGACACGTGAAGGGGCATTGTAGCTTTTTGGACAGTGGTTGGGGAAAGACCACTTTGGAATACTTCCCTGTGCCCCCCAAATACTTCCCTGCTGGACGGATATTTGTCAGAGATGCTTTAGGCTGGTCCTGCATTGGGCAGGGGGTTGGACTAGATGGTCTGTATGGCCCCTTCCAACTCTGTGATTCTATAAACAACTAGCTTATCAGCGAGTCCGTCTCTGCCCTCTTTCTTTACTAGCTTGCGTTGATCTTCTTTTGCAGCGGGTAGAAACACTTGCACTGTGAGAGATTTTCAAGGAAAGTCATCCACTTGCTTTATTTCATTATCTGCAATATTAGTTGGCCCACCTTGTTTTGTTGTAGGGCAGGGGGAGCCCACACTGCTGGTCACTGGGAACCTGGGAGCTGGCCATTGTTGGGAACAGGCTGCTGGGCTGGAAGGAGCGGGGTCAAGGCCTGCGGAGCATCCCACAGTGCTCCAGACTAACCTTTCCTCTCCATTTTGACTGGTAGGATCTCCTTCAGAAGTTTCGTTGAACGGTACGAAGTGCTGAAGAAATCACGGAAGCGCACCTCCAGAGCTGCACAGAATGGAAACAGCTGCTCACCCCATGTGGGAAATGGTATGTTCTCCTCTAAAGCTTCTGTTTCTAGTAACTGGGAAGGATGTCTGAACTTGACCAGTCTTCCCCCGCTTGACACATTCCCGTCGCCTAGGCTCTGCCACCAGATTCCTTTTTGCTTTGACTGTCCATCTTCTGGAAGACATTTTCCAAAATATGTGTAGGATGAAAAATAGACCTTTGGGCAGCAGAAGACTGCATGGCACCTGAGAATTTCCTCTTTTTGTTTAACATAAACACAGCCCTTCCTCAAATCCAGCTCAGGTTGCACATTTTAAAAGCGTCTTAGTGGCCTAAGAGTGTGGATGTGTGTTCTGCAATGGGTTATCTCAGTAAAACATACCAGCATGCACATTTGGATGCACATCAGCTTCACACCCGCAGTTCCAGAAACAGCAAGTTACATACATACGGTAGCCTGTTTACCCAGGTGGATGTCTTTTACCTTTAAGAACAAGAATACAGAGCATCCCTTGCCCCAGACCAAGAGTTCCTATCTATACCTTGTGACTAATAGCCACTGATGGACCACTGCTCCATATGCTTATCTAATTCCCTCTTGAAGCTGTCCATGCTTGTAACCCGCGCCACCTCCCGTGGCAGTGAATTCCATGTGTTAATCACTCTTTGGGTGAAGAAGGACTTCCTTTTATCCGTTCTAACCCGACCGCTCAGCAATTTCATGGAGTGCCCATGGGTTCTTGCATTGTGAGAAAGGGATAAAAGTACTTCTTTCTCTACCTGCTCTTTCCCATGCATAATCTTATAAACCTCGATCATGTCATCCCTCAGCCATCGTTTTTCCAAGCTAAAGAGTCCCAAGCGCTTTAACCTTTATCAAGGTATAAGCCCTTACAGCCATGTGCTAGCCATATTCTGTTGAGAATTCTGGAGGGGATCATACAGTCTCTAGCAAAACTTGCTCTCTTACGGCTGTGGAGATACACTGGTAAGTGTGTGGGTAAAAGCTTACCAAAATCTGAGAACTCAGTTGCACGTTACTACCTGACGGATATTCATGTGTAGCCCTGACCTGGATACCTCAGGCTAGCCCGATCTCATCATATCTCAGAAGTTAAGCAAGGTCAGCCCTGTTTAGTACTTGGATGGGAAACCACCGGGGAAGGCCAGGGTTGCTACGCAGAAGCACACCACCAGTGTTCCCTCTAAGCTGAGTTAGTGTGAGCTAGCTCCCAGTTTTTTAGCCTCCGGCTCACACATTTTTGTCTTAGCGTAGGAAGGAATGGCTCCAGAGCAAACTAATTTATGCAGTAGCCAAATCGCTTCCTCACAACTTGAATGCCAGTAGCTCATAAAGCACAATTTTTGCTCACAAGACTCCACAGCTTAGAGGGAGCATTGCACACCACCTCTGAACATCTCCTGCCTTGAAAACCCTGCGGGGTTGCCATAAGCCGGCTGCAACTTGATGTCACTTTCCACCGCTACCATTCATGGGTAAGCCTAGATAAAACTGGATGAGGTTGTAGAGCCTCTGGCCACTTTCCTCCTGTTATTTTATCTGTGTTTCTCCATGCTACGGTTGTCTAGATACTAGACTACTGTAATGCACTCTGTGTGGGTCTTCCCTGAAAGACAACTTGGAAACTATGCCACAGCCCCCCACTAGTATCAGGCAATAAGTGGAATCTTCATATCACTGCCATTATGCAGACACTCTGTTGATTAGTAAAAGGTAAAGGTTTCCCTTGCTCGAAAGCCAGTCGAATCCAACTCCAGGGGGTGGTGCTCATCTCCGTTTCCAATCCAAAGAGCCAGAGCTATCCAGAGACTTCTCCGTGGTCATGTGGCCGGCATGAGTAGATGCCGAGGCTCACGGAATGCTATAAATGAGACAAATAAATAAATAAAATAAATTCTCTTCCCACTGAAGCAGTACCTATTTATCTACTTGCAATTTCTTGCTTTCGACCTGCTAGGTTGGCAGGAGCTGGGGCCGGAGATGGGAGCTCACTCCGTCACACGGCACTAGAGTCTCAAACTGCCGAACTACAGACCTTCCGGTCTGCAGCTCGGCGTCTTAACCTCTGAGCCACTTCTGTTGGTTACCAATCAGTTATCAGACTTAGTTGAAGGTTCTAGCTTAGTGGCCTTGGTCCCACATATGTGCAGAACTGCCTCTCCTGCTACGTTCCACTGCAGCAGCTTCACTCATTGGAGCAAAGCCTTCTGAAGGTGCCACCCTTTAAGCTTGTGAAATCGACAGCAGCCCCTTCACATGCATTCTCTGTCGGGGCTCCCACATCACGGAACAGTCTGCCCGGGACTGTTAGGAAAGCCCTGAGGATTCTCACATTTCACAAAATGTGCAAAACAGAATAGTTCGGGAGGGCGTTCTTGTGGAGGAGTAGAGCTGTGAGCTGCAATGTAATGGATCAGCTCATGGGAGTGACCTCTCTTAGGAAGAAGAAGATAACAGATTGGATTTATACCTTGCCCTTCGGTAACCAAAGCAGTCTTAGAGTGATTTACAATCTCTTTTCCCTTCCCTCCAACAGACACCCTGTGAGGTAGGTGGGGCTGAGAGAGCTCTCTCAAGATCTGCTCATGAGAGAACAGCTCCAAGAGAACTTATGAGTGACCAAAGGTCACACCAGCAGCCGCATGTGGAGGAGTGGGGAATCAAATCCAGTTCTCCCAGATTAGAGTCCCCGCTCTTAACCACTACACCAAACTGACTCTCAGGGACTGTGTGTTTAGCTAGGACTTTGATTAAAGCGGTCCTGAATTGTCATTTTAAATTTTGGTAGTACGTATTTTTATGTGCTCCATTTTATGTATTTTATTTATCTTGTAAGCCACCTTGTGCTCCAAAAGGAAGAGAGGTGGCTGATAAATGTTATAAATAAATAAATAATCCCCCCCCCTTCCAGTTCTTCAGTCCCACCTGAGGCATTATGTGGTTTTGCTAGGAACCTGTGTTTAGACTCCAATATTGTCATCATTCAAATGTTATCATATTCTGTAATCAGCTTACTGAGTGACCGAATAGCTCTATTGTATTCATAAACCACATTAATGTCAGATCCCAAGCAGGAGAACAAACCCACGTAAATGAAAATAATCAGTTCTCTCCTTTGCGAATTGCCCCCTACTGCTCCCTCTCTGAACTCCTGAAGATAATTCAGCCCCTGAAGGAAAGATAAAGTCAGGTGGATAAGGAGAAAGGCAGCCACAGGTCCTGTAGGGATTTCCAGTTTTCTCTGCTACTCCTCTAGGGAGCATCTGGGGCAGTGATGCTCTGTATTCTTGGTGCTCGGGGGGCAACCGTGGGAGGCCTTCTGGAGTTCTGGTCCCGCTGCTGGACCTCCTGATGGCACCTGGTTTTTGGCTACTGTGTGACACAGAGTGTTGGACGGGATGGGCCACTGGCCTAGCCCAACATTGGCTTCTCTCTTATGTTTATCAACCAGCCAGTTTGTAGCTGTCCTCCCAGCAAAAGTCAAGAGAGCTTTCCAGCAACTGGAGCAGGACTTCTGTGCTCTGCCTGCTTCCTAGCCACTCCCCAAGATCAGCGAGTAAAAATAAGAGCAGTGTTGTGCAGAATGAAGTGTAACATGCACAGGTGCCAAAATGCAACAGTCTGGGATTGGTTTCATTTTGCACAAGGGTTGTTTTGTTTTTTTAAAGTTGCTCCCGCTCAGACCCTGTCTGTACTGCTGTGAAGTTCTGTTTTTGTTTTTCATAATTTCTCTTTCTGTGCCTGTCAGATCTCTTGCCCGACACCCTTTGGCCTCTTCCTAGCTTTCTGGGACCCTTCAGCTCCTACACACACTGCTTCTCTGCAGGACTCTCTCCCACAAACTGCCTCTCTGTCTTAGGCTGTCCCTTTAATAGGCCCAGGTCAGCTCTCCAGCCAGTAGAGGTAAGCTTAGATTAGATCAGGTCTCTCTCTGTCTTGGGGTCAAACTGCATGCAATGGCAGCAAACCTGTATGCACAAGGCAACCCTAACCACACGGGGAGGCGTCTGTGGCTCTAAAGTGCCACAGAGGAAGGTCTGAGCTTCACCACCGCTCCTGGTCTCATCCTGCAGTCTGTCTCATAAGGACTTCCATCTCCTGCACAGTTGGGCTCGGCGACTGGAAGTGAGCATGGGGGGGGGGGTGCACAGTGGGAAATGGTGGGTGGGAGAAGGGTTAAGAACCCTCCGCTTCCTTTGGCACTTTAAGATGTACCCCATCCACATACATCACAGACCTGTGAAGCTGCCTTATACCGAATCAGACCTTTGGTCCGTGGAAATCAGAATTGTCTGGCAGGAGCTCTCCAGAATCTCAGGCAGAGGTCTTTCAAACGTCACCTGCGACCTGGCCTTTTCCCTGGAGGTGCTGGGGACCGAACCTGGGACCTTCTGCATGCCAAGCAGATCTTCTCTGCCACTGAGCCGCTGTCCCTCCCTGCTTTGCATGTAATTGTATACAAGATAAAAAGCCAGTGGCACAGCAATATATGCAAACAAGAAAAAAAAATGCATGTGCCCAAATTCGACCACCAAAAAACCAATAATTTAATAGATTTTATAGATGTAACATATACACTACTCAGAACAAATTCTCCTATGACACGATTAAATAGGTAGAAATTCACAGGTACAGTTTTTTCATAAACATCTTTGTAATAATTAATTCAAAAGAGTCCTTGAACTGTAAGGATGCGATAGTGTCTCTGCCAGCCGATTCATTTTATAGATATGTGTAGACATCCACAAAGTATATTCAGATTATTTATTTATTTATTTATTTAATTAGATTTCTATCCGAGGGGTGGGACCTCAGACAGGTACAATGCCATAGACTCCACCCTCCAAACCACTCAGTCCCTCATGGGGAACCATTGTTGCCAATCTCCAGGTGAGGGCTGGAGACCGGTCAAAATTACAATTGCTCTGCAGAAGGGAGGGCGGAAGTCAGCTGAAGTCAAAGGGGCAGATAATGGTAGGTTGATGGTTAGCTGCGAAGGAGATGGGGTTGCCAACTCCAGGCTGGCAAATTCCTGGGGGTTTGAGGGGTGGAGCCTGTAGAGGGTGGGGTTTGCGGAGGGGTGGGACATCAGACAGGTAGAATGCCATAGACTCCACCCTCCAAACCAGCCATTTCGTCCTGGGTAACAATTGTTGCCAATTTCCAGGTGAGGGCTACAGATCACTCAAAATTACAACTGCTCTTCAGGGAGCAGAGATCAGTTCCTCTGGAGAAAACAGTGGACTCTGCCATTATACCCTGCTGAGGTCACCACAGCAAAATGACACTGTTTGCCCAAAGCCAGAGCACTCCCCCAGAGCCTCTTTCTAGATCCCGTTGTATTTATTTCCACAACGGGCTTTACTGCTATTGGTAGATATAAAGGGATTCCATACTCAGCTAGACACTGTGCGTGTAATCAAAACCAAGTTGACTCGGTTTTCCATATTTTCCTACACTGTCCCCAATATGATGAGATACGTCTTTCCTTTTTAGATCCAATCTTATTTAATATGATAGGCTGTCCAGACACTTTTAAGGTGCACTACCTTTTGAATGATTTGTCACCCGAAATAACTGAAAATGTAGCCTCTTTTTAAAGTTTGGTAATCAAGGACCGTCTGCACAACGTATAGATGCATATGATTGATTCATTTCTCCTTGTTACCTATTTATCCACTTTTGTTTCTTCCTGTAGCCTAACATATGCCAATAAAGGTCTGTGTATGTGTATGTATGTATGTAATTAAAGTGCTTATTGATACAGCAATCCTCAGGTACAGCAATCCTCAGTGATTCCCAATGGAGAATCAATAATTTCTTGGAACCTCCCTTCAAAAGTCCGAAGCATGTCTCCACTATACCATTTTCATTACCATTTTCATTTCCCTCTAATGAAAATGGTATAGTGGAGATATGCTTCGGACTTTTGAAGGGAGGTTCCAAGAAATTATTGATTCTCCATTGGGAATCACTGAGGATCGCTGTATCTGAATATACTTTGTGGATGTCTACACGTATCTATGAAATGAATCGGCTGGCAGAGACACTATCACATCCTTGCAGTTCAAGGACTCTTTTGAATTAATTATTACAAAGATGTTTATGAAAAAACTGTACCTGTGAATTTCTACCTATTTAATCGTGTCATAGGAGAATTTGTTCTGAGTAGTGTATATGTTACATCTATAAAATCTATTAAATTATTGGGGGTTTGGTGCTTGAATTTGGGCACATGCATTTTTTTCTTGTTTGCATGTAATTGTGGCATTCCTTCTTTTCAGGACTCAGGTCTGCCTCCCTTGCGTGTGGTTTGGCCTTTGGGCAGCGCACAAATCCATGGGTTTTGGCCCATGATGGCTGCAAGGTTGGAAGGGCTGGGAAAGCCAGACTCTTAGATATTGGCTCATTTCTTTCTCCTCTTGCAGGCTGGGTTCCAACTCAAGACGATGGCGACACATTTCAGCCTGCCGTTCAGGACATTCTCCAAGAAATGTGCCCGAGTGCTCCTCCGCTCCAACCAGCAGAGAAAAAATCCTGCGATGCAGCCGTGTATTGCGGCAAGACCAAAGTATTTATGACTCACTCCATGGTAAAGACACAAGGTGGACTTTGAAGACTTGGTAGGAAGGGAGAAATGGGGGTGCAATTTATTCAGAACTGAGGGCCCTCCTGAAATTCAGCATGAGCAGTGCTATAAATAAAATTACATGGCATTTCTGTGGAAGCAGGGAAGAATTCAGTTACCTGTGAATCATTGACTAATTTCCCACAAGCAGCTGTGCCACCGTCGCTCTTCCATTTCTCCCCCTTGCATTGGTCAACTTCACATTTCACTGTGCAGCCACATATTGACCTGCAGCTCCCCCCCCAATTTCCCCCATGTCTTCTCGATCTCTAAAAACAAGGATTGAGAAGACACGAGGGAAATCAGGGGGAGCTGCAGGTCAAAATGTTGCCACACAGCAAATAGTATGAAATTGACCAATGAAAGCGGGGGAAACAGAAGAGCGACGGCAGCACAGCTGCTTGTGGGGAATTGGTGTTGGTTTGCCATTTAAAAGGAAGTACCAGTAGACCTCATGATTGTAAAGAGAGGCTTGAATGCATGTGAGCAATTGCAGAAATTAGAGATAAAACTGAGATTCCAAGGGGCATGGGCACTGGCCTTCAGCTGGTATTTCTTCCTCATGCAAATCTATGCAGGGTTACATCACTTATCCAGGTCACAGAACTCGGCAGGGATGGTGGAGGAGAACACAGCCTGTTTCAGTTGATGCTCACCTGTACAGGCACTACGTTAGACATTGGGGTTAAAGGGAGGGACAGTGGAATTGCACAGCTAATTTTAATTAAGTGACTCTTTTAGATTCTCAAACACTTGACACATTGGACTTTGAGTCATTCCTAAATATCAGAAGCAAAGATATGGCTTTGAAAAGTACTGGGGGATCAGGAAGTGCCTGACCGTGCCCGGGTTCACCCGGAGGTCTTATGTCTCTTCTTGCAGTTGGAGGTCCTGGAAGCCAGACGAGCCCGGGCCTTGTCAGAGAGAGCTTTCTGCATCCAGTGCTGCTGGTGGCGGTTCAAGAGGCGGAAGCAGGTGAAGCAGAGACAGGCTGCCACGGCCATCCAATCAGGTGAGAGAAAAGGTGACAGGCAGGTGGGGTTCACCAATGAAGAGGTGCGTGGGAAATGTTCAGAATCAGAGGCGGGTTCGGCAGAATGCAGGGCAGTTTCAGGTGTTTTTTCCCCCTGCTGGGATTCTTGCAGAGAAATATAGGCCAGGAGGGGAGGTCAGCCAGATCCTGCAAAGCACATTCTCAGGGTCACAGATGATGATGCTTGTACGTCGTGCTCTTCCTCTGAGGAGTGTGGGGCGGACAGGTGGGGGGTGTTACCTCCTTTTTGCCCTTGCAGCCACCCAGTGAGGTAGGTTAAAGCTGGACAGTGCATGGCCCAAGGTCAGCCAACAGAGGGCACGACACACTGTGCTGTTGCAGAACCAGAATGGGGTATCACTGCTTGCAGGGACTCATGAAGCTGCCTTTTCCAGCGTCAGGCCAGGGATCCCTCTAGCTCAGCCTTGCCTGCTGTGAGTGGTGGCAGCAGCTCTCTTAAGATCTGAGACTTCTTTGACAGGGGTTGCTTGGGACTGAGAGCCCCAAAGCACCCATCAAGAGCGGCTGCCCGCTGCCTCTCTGCATGAGTGTTGCGCATCGTAGCCTCTCTCCTATCAGCCCTTGCTCTGGCCAGAGTGGCTGATTCAGTTGCAGATAAGTGACCAGCGCTTAGAAGTGTCTGCCTGTCATGTCTCTGCTCTAGGCTCTTACAAGAGTATCTCCTGTGGAAATGCAGGGGAAGGGGCTTTTCTAGTGGGTATCCCTTCCATGTTAGAACTATTTTTTATATAAGAGCAATGAGACTCCCCCACTTTTAATTTGGAGGGAAAGGTGGAGGGGGGTGGGTAGCAGGGGGTGGTAACAGTATACTGGGCTGGATGTAATTTCATTTTGGTCCATCACAGCCCTTGCTTGCATGTGGGTTTTTGGCAAAAAAAAACCCCTCATTTTGTGGTGTGTACTCTAGCAGATTCTCTTAACACAGTTTCCTCACCCCACCCCTTTTGTCAGCTGTTCGCACGTGGCTAGCCAGGAGACGTTTCCAGAAGCTGCGCGAAGCTGCTACGGTTGTCAAACGGGCGTGGAGGAAATGGAAGGTGAGGGTGCCAAGTTGTTAAAGCGGACCTGCAGTTCGTTGGAAGCTGGGATCCTGAGCTCTGTGGGTGTGCGCGCTGTGATTCCCAGGAAGGAGAGCAAAAGCAGAGGCTCCGTCTAGTGGGCAAGCGGGGCCACCCCCAGCCACGGGGGGGGGGCTCCGAGAGAGCGCACACGAGCCGGGCTTCCCCTGGGAGCTCCCAGGGACGCGCCCGTAGCACAGCGCCGCACCGCCGGAAGTCCGACTTTAAGTCATTCCTAAATATCAGAAGCAACGATATGGCTTTGAAAAGTACTGGGGGATCAGGAAGTGCCTGACCGTGCCCGGGTTCACCCGGAGGTCTTATGTCTCTTCTTGCAGTTGGAGGTCCTGGAAGCCAGACGAGCCCGGGCCTTGTCAGAGAGAGCTTTCTGGATATGGCTTTGAAAAGTACTGGGGGATCAGGAAGTGCCTGACCGTGCCCGGGTTCACCCGGAGGTCTTATGTCTCTTCTTGCAGTTGGAGGTCCTGGAAGCCAGACGAGCCCGGGCCTTGTCAGAGAGAGCTTTCTGCATCCAGTGCTGCTGGTGGCGGTTCAAGAGGCGGAAGCAGGTGAAGCAGAGACAGGCTGCCACGGCCATCCAATCAGGTGAGAGAAAAGGTGACAGGCAGGTGAGGTTCACCAATGAAGAGGTGCGTGGGAAATGTTCAGAATCAGAGGCGGGTTCGGCAGAATGCAGGGCAGTTTCAGGTGTTTTTTTCCCCTGCTGGGATTCTTGCAGAGAAATATAGGCCAGGAGGGGAGGTCAGCCAGATCCTGCAAAGCACATTCTCAGGGTCACAGATGATGATGCTTGTACGTCGTGCTCTTCCTCTGAGGAGTGTGGGGCGGACAGGTGGGGGGTGTTACCTCCTTTTTGCCCTTGCAGCCACCCAGTGAGGTAGGTTAAAGCTGGACAGTGCATGGCCCAAGGTCAGCCAACAGAGGGCACGACACACTGTGCTGTTGCAGAACCAGAATGGGGTATCACTGCTTGCAGGGACTCATGAAGCTGCCTTTTCCAGCGTCAGGCCAGGGATCCCTCTAGCTCAGCCTTGCCTGCTGTGAGTGGTGGCAGCAGCTCTCTTAAGATCTGAGACTTCTTTGACAGGGGTTGCTTGGGACTGAGAGCCCCAAAGCACCCATCAAGAGCGGCTGCCCGCTGCCTCTCTGCATGAGTGTTGCGCATCGTAGCCTCTCTCCTATCAGCCCTTGCTCTGGCCAGAGTGGCTGATTCAGTTGCGGATAAGTGACCAGCGCTTAGAAGTGTCTGCCTGTCATGTCTCTGCTCTAGGCTCTTACAAGAGTATCTCCTGTGGAAATGCAGGGGAAGGGGCTTTTCTAGTGGGTATCCCTTCCATGTTAGAACTATTTTTTATATAAGAGCAATGAGACTCCCCCACTTTTAATTTGGAGGGAAAGGTGGAGGGGGGTGGGTAGCAGGGGGTGGTAACAGTATACTGGGCTGGATGTAATTTCATTTTGGTCCATCACAGCCCTTGCTTGCATGTGGGTTTTTGGCAAAAAAAAACAACCCTCATTTTGTGGTGTGTACTCCAGCAGATTCTCTTAACACAGTTTCCTCACCCCACCCCTTTTGTCAGCTGTTCGCACGTGGCTAGCCAGGAGACGTTTCCAGAAGCTGCGCGAAGCTGCTACGGTTGTCAAACGGGCGTGGAGGAAATGGAAGGTGAGGGTGCCAAGTTGTTAAAGCGGACCTGCAGTTCGTTGGAAGCTGGGATCCTGAGCTCTGTGGGTGTGCGCGCTGTGATTCCCAGGAAGGAGAGCAAAAGCAGAGGCTCCGTCTAGTGGGCGATAAGTGATCAACAACTATTCACTGCTCAAGATCAATGTATCATAGAGCTTTTATGGGACGAAAGGAAAAAGCATAGGCCGGGTCCGTATCTGCAGGTTTCATCTTTCTAAAAATCTTTCTCAAAAACAGGGATCATTTCCTGCTGGAGCGCCCCGGAGCGGTGCTCCGGCAGTAAGAAGCCCAGCCCCCTCCCACCCGCAGAGAGACTCAGGGAGGGGGGGATTTAAATGCCCTGGGTTCCCTGCCCAATCTTCTCCAGATCAGGCAGGGAACCCAGATATGTCTGCCTCTCCCCCTGAGCGTCTCTGCTTTTGCAGAGAGACTCGGGGGGGGGGAGATTTAAATGCCCTGGGTTCCCTGCCTGATCTTCTCCAGGTGCCCCACAGCCAGGGGGAACCTGGAGAAGATCGGGCTGGGAACCCAGGCATGTCTGCCTCCCTGTCCTTCCCGTCTCCAGCCAGCCCACCGCGGCGGGTTGGCTGGAGACGGGAAGGACAGGGAAGGCAGACATGCCTGCCTTTCCCCTTAGCCTCTCCGTTTTTGCGGAGAGATTGGGGGGGGGGGATTTAAACTCATTCGCATATGCCTCTTAACTCATTTTAAACATGCCTGCCCTTTGTCAGGGGGTGTGGCTTATGCAAATGAGATCCTGCACCTCTTTTTCTAGGAAATGACCCCTGCTCAAAAATACTCAGATTTTTTTTTTTGCAAAGATTCCAGAAAGTGTACCAATGCTTGGTGAAGTCCGAGCATCCAGAGTGATTGGGGGGGGGGGCTCGGGGGGGGGGGCTCGAATGCTGTATAAAGCCTCCCCTCGCCTGATCTCCTTACTTGTACATGCAAAATGTGAAGAACTGCAAAATAAATTACACACAAATAAGCAAAACTCTGGTTTAGATTGAGATGGGTAGCCGTGTTAGTCTGCCAGTAGCAGCAGAAAAGAGCTAGAGTCTAAAGACTAACAGTACTTGGGGCAGGGTAGGAGCTTTGGGGAGAAAAGAGCAAGAGTCCTGGACAGTGTTCCCTCTAAGCTGAGTTGGTGTGAGCTAGCTCAGGTTTTTCTTCTCTAGCTCACACATTTTTGTCTCAGCTTAGGGAGGAGGGCTCTAGAGCAAACTAATTGATGCAGTAGCCAAATTGCTCACTCACAACTTTAATGCCAGGAGCTCACAGAGTAGAATTTTTGCTCACAAGACTCCACAGCTTAGAGGGAACATTGGTCCTGGAGCACCTTAAAGACTAACAAAATGTGTGGCAGGGTAGGAGCTGGCTAGCACCAAGTCTGAGCCTTCAAAAGCCAGCAGAGACCTTCCTCTGAACAGCCCTTAAACTGTTGTTTGCTTTTTTTGAGCTTGAGGGCCAGATGAAAAGCTCTCATTGGGCTGAAACCGGGGATAGAGAGGAGACAATATGCCTATCTCGACACTGCCGCAAATGAGTCAGAATACTTTTATCTTCCCAGGCAAAGATGGACCTGCTGGCTGCAGAGGAACTAGACGGCGTCGAAGGGAAGCCCTTGGTTTCCAGAGGGGCCATTTCCTCAAGCTGGGCTTGTAGCGAATCGGAAAAATCCTGGCCACCAAGAGCAATTATCCAGTTCTGGCCTCTCGGACTGGTGCTATCGAGCGCGCCTGTGACGCTGGGCGGGTTCCAGAGAAACCTCACCTTCCTGGCATGCCTCCAAATCCTACAGTACAGCCCCCATCGTAAGGCTGAGACCAAGACGCTGGAAGGGGGCATCACCTCTGTCCGAGCGCTGCCACAGGTATGGGTGACCGTTCACCACGTGACTACAAGAAGCTAATCTGCACACACATACACACAAAATGTGGCTTTAAGACACAAGTCGAAGTGCCGCTGTTTTAAAGCCTTCCGCAGGGGCCGCCCGTGGCTCAGGGGTGCAGCATATGCTTTGCATGTCTGAGGCTCCTTGGTTTCTCCAGTTGGAAGGTCACAGGTATTGGGAAGGACCCGTCTCTGCGGGAGGGCCGCTTCCATTCGGAAGTCACACTACTAAGCCCAGTAGCACCTTGAAGACCAACAAGATCCCCAGGGGATAAGCTTTCGAAAACAGAAGCTGGTGAGATACAAAGGGGGAGCGCGCCGGCTCTCAACGGCTTATTGTATCCTGCAAATCTTGATGGTCTTTAAGGCGCCACCGAACTTGAGGCTTGCCGCTCTGCTGCAGACCAACATGACTACTCATCTAAGACGGGGCCCAGAGGTCCAACTCGGTATAAGGCCGTTGCGTGTGCACTCAAGATAGAAGCTCCCCTCACTGATGAGAGTCCGTCCAGATCGCTCACCTTCTGGAGTGAGGCCAGGGCCTTTTGGGCGGTGACTTCCTGTTTGTGGAATTCCCTCTCCAGAGCTGACACCAAGCAAAATCTGTCCTCTTTCTCCAGGGTTTGGTAGTTAAGCGTGCCTCTCCTTCGATGACCTTGTTCTACTCCAGCTGTTCCGTGACTGCTTTGACTTATTGCTCCTAGTGGTTTTATGTCTAGCGTCACATTATTTAATGTTTTAAGTTACGCAAAATCAGACTTGACACTTGTTAAAATACAAACACACTGCAAGAGCCAGTTTGGTGTAGTGGTTAAGTGTGCGGACTCTAATCTGGGAGAACCGGGTTTGAGTCCCCACTCCTCCACTTGCACCTGCTGATGTGACCTTGGGTCAGTCACAAGCTCTGGCACAGCTGTTCCTGAAAAAGAGCAGTTTGTGTCAGAGTTCTCTCAGCCCCACCCACCTCACAGGGCGTCTGTTGTGGGGAGGGGAAGGGAAAGGAGTTTGTAAGTCGCTCTGAGACTCCGAGCGAAGGGCGGGGGATAAATCCAATTTCTTCTTCTTCTTCTTCTAAATCCAGAAAGTTTGCAGCTGACTGCCCTGTAATCTTACAGAGAGCCGGAGAGCTCTTCTGGAATGACTGAACTGTAGCCTCTTTCTTTACGCCCTGGTCTTCTGTATACTGTCAAGGTCTCCTGAACTTCAAAATTACAGCAGTCCCTGGAGAATGAAACAGTCCTAATGCCATAATTCCCAGCTCCTGACTCTGATGCACAAGGCCTTAAGCATAATCCCCCACAAGGCCCGAAGTATCCATTTGCAGAAGAGTCTGCCTGCTGCATCTCTGTATGTCACAGCTTCTGGCCTCGCTTCCTTTGTAAGGACACTTCCTTTTGCTATGTCTTCTCGCAGATCAGTCATTCCCAATGCTGCCAAATTAACCACACCTCTTAGCTGTTGTCTTTTTTGAGTCACTGCTCAGTCAGACAAAACAGCAGTTCTTGCTTAAATATAATAGATGGGCAATTCTTAATTCTCACATGCTAAAAGTACATTTTTTTTGTTTTAACTTTTAACGTGGAGCTCAGCTAGCTGAAGCTGGGGGAATGCTGCTCCCAGACGGGAGAGTCTCACCAGTTTCACAGTCCAACCTGAACAGTCATCTTTTTGTGCCTAGGGCTCAGTCAAGTTCCACTGCAAGAAATCGCCGCTGCTTTATGCTGACACCCGGCCGCACCGCCACGCCTGCCCCAGGACTGGCTTCAACCAAATTCTGCTCGACAGCCACGAGTTACTCACTGTCTAAAAGTGCACTTCTGGCCACTCAGAAGTGTTTTAATTGCACTTTCTCGTCCAGCTGTCTCTTTCTTACAACTTTTTAGGTGGCACTGCCCAGTTCACACCATCCTGAAGCATGCAGACCCTGCGCATGGGGGGGGACCCCACAGCAAGCTTTTCAGCTGTACCCGGCCCCCTTTTTCTAGAGCACAGGACAAAGGCACATTTCTCCCGGGAGAAACTGGAGAGCTGCTACTCTTGCAAGCCACTATTTTGTTGCACTAAAAGACTTGCAGGTACATCCTCAAAGCATGTGTGAGTGCATAGATTTTCCTACTGGCCATAAGGTCGAGGACCTACCCAGTGGGAGTACACCACCCCCATTCTTCACCCCCCTTCCTTGTGCAGACTTAAAGCAAGTCTCTGTCCTGGTGCTAAACCTTCCAATCCTGAGCACAGAGGTTGGAAACAAGCTCCACGGAAACAAGTGCAGCCGAAAGTCCAAGGGCCTGCAGTTCAGAGCTGGGCACAAACATTTTTATTGCAGGTGTTAAGATGTCTGTAACACAAGACGTTTTGTAAGACCACACCAGAACAACTGTTGTCAATTAAAGGCAAAGGTTTTTTTATTACAAATGTTTTCTGACGTTCTTAAACAGGCTTTCTCTCCCAGCCCCGGTTTGGTTCCCTTTCCCTGCCCCCACCCTCATCAAAGGAAGAAGATGAACCAAAAGTGTTTCTAACCCCCCTCAGTGATAAAAGAATTTGTTCAGGCAGAACTTGCAACCACTGCACTTGAATTGTCACTTGTCCTAACAAGCCCTGCCTGGCAGCCTAAGATTCACCACCAGAGCTTCAGCCTGGCACAGAAAATGGGCTGTATCTCCGACTTCTGGATCAACAAAAAATTCAGAAACGGATCCAGGACTTTTTGTCAAGTCTCTGATAAATATGTTGAGATTGTCGCTGGGGTCCTTGCAGCTACACTTGAGCCTCAGCTGCTGAAAGCCAGGTGAAAGCAGCCCCTACCTAAGTCCCAATTAAACGAACAGGGTGCAAATGAATTGCTGCTTTAAACCCCAATCTGTGCTTGCGCGCAAACACCTCCTTGGAAACATCGTTCCATGCCACTGCAGAAAACCCTTGATGCTGGAACTCCGTGGATGGTGCACGCCTGTCGCACTGTCACCCGAACAAATACTAAAGTTTACCGTGGTGGTGGGGAAAGGATCCACAAACCCATTCCACGCCTTTCCAACAGATACATGTTTTTGTTCACTATTATGCCAGAAAAATTCCACACAACCTGTTCCCAAGTCTGTCAAGGGATGGTAACATCGTTCCTGGACTGTTATCCCCCTACAGAATTAGGATGGCCTCAGTTTGTGGGTTTTGGAGGTAGAAGCCACGCACCAGACATCCGTGGATGATTTTCACCCATAAGTAGCCATTTGTGTCCAAGCTAATTTGTGGGTTTTGGAGGTAGAAGCCACGCACCACACATCCGTGGATGATTTTCACCCATAAGCAGTCGATTTTGGCTTGACTGGGCCCACTAGACGGAGTTAGGTCTGACTTCACCACAGTTCCAGTGAAATGTAAAATCAGGGTTTTAAGCAGGTAGGGGAGCCCTACTTTAAATCACGAAGCAGAGTTTTCCACATGTTACAAACCTAACACTTCTTAGATACCATTTCCAAGATAGCTTAAACTGGAAGGTGGATTTTGTAGCACAAAAGAAGAACTGCTTCTGGTACATGAACACTCCTGTCCCCCAAACCCAGGCCCAAGAGCCAGCAGTGACATCTTCTCCGGAAGAACGGGACTGAGAATCTAGCCATTGTCAATAAAGGGAGCCATTCTGTGCTCCCACAAACCACCTCCCGTCCTCTCGCTGCTCGCTCCTGGGCCGCTTTCATTCCGGAAGCTCATTCTCCTTCTCGGACGGCTCAACGATCCGCAGGCAGCAGTCGGCAAACTCCACAAACAGTGGCTCTTGCATGTACTTCCTCATGAGGGAGCTCTTGTCCGCGGCCTGGTCGACGGTTAGAAGCAGTTGCCGGAGGTGGGGGTTGAGGAGAAGGCCTCGGAGTTCTTCTGAGTCCTCTGTTGGGAAAGGAGCAATAAGAGAGACGAGTTCAGATCCCCAGAGGACGAGGCTGGGATGGATCTTGGGGCCGACCTACCCTTGGCTGAGACAGACAGAGCTTCCTGTGTCTTTTAGCACCCGTGGCAAGTTATGTTCTTGCAGGTTCCAGTTGATGGACATTGCTTCATACAGCTCTACCATGACTCAAGTGCTTAGGTGTCAGAACATCTGAAATCGGGACTCTTTCAAGGACGAGCTGCAGAATCACAAACTAGTCTGGGTTGAGCCACTGCCTGTTGTTTTTGCTGGGCTATAACACACTTCAGGCAGTGTGACAGCTTAGAGCAGCAGCAAGAACACAATATTTATTAGCAGAATGCAAGACTAAGTGAAGTTATCCAGAGGTGCCCACAAAGAGGGCAAGGGATATCTATCTAGAAACAAAAAAAAAAAGCAGCCCTGGTTCCATCTTTGCATTGCTGCAGTTTTGGTTCCCTGAAGGTGCAGGCTGCACATTTCCCCTTAGAACTCTGTAAGAAAAAGGTCCTTTAGTCAAAGATGCTCAGGATTCAACCTGGGACCCTCCACAGTACTACTGAGCCAGAACCACGTCCCCTGCCTGCAATATGTCTTTTAGTCTTTAAGAAGAGAACTACATGTTTCCATCTAAACATATTCCTCATAAAGCTTGGAGGGGGCTTTGCAGGGGCGACTCCAGTTGTGTGCAGGGGGCAGGGGGGTGCCCTTCCTCAGTGCCTCCTGCCCCTTTGCTCTGCTTTAGACTTTTCTTCCAGCTCGGCTGTGAACTGGGGGGAGCTTAGTTAGGAAACAATTGGCCTGCAGGGATGAAATCTGCCAAAGAAAACTCCTGCAAATGGAAGGGGTTCACCCACCACAAATGCAAATTTAGGAAGCTGCAACTGGTATGCTAATACATAATACATCCCTAAGACAAAAGTGAAAAACTACCTTTTATTCGACTCTATATGGTCCCATAGGCTAAGCCGTCCCTGTACCCCTGACCCTGACCAGCAGCAGGTCTCCACGGTCTTTGGGAGCCTTTGGTTTTGTCACGATGTGCGGTTACCCCTGGGGAAATGCCGATTTCTGCCATTTTGACCATGATGGGGAACTCCCAGGCCTTAGAATGAGAGGGGAGTGTTCAGTACACCCCGGTCATCCTCCTCTCTGCCATCCTCCTCTCTGCCCCCGGTCATCCTCCTCTCTGTTCCCTGTGTCTTCCCATTGGGCCTCCTCCTCCCTGTTTCCCCTGCTCCTACTTTCTCCATTGGTCTGCTGTAGACATCCTCCTCCCGGCTTCCTCCCCCTCCCCACCCAGCCTCGAGCCTCACCTCGAACGGAGGAGGAACTAGGATGCTTCCGCACACCTGCTTTGCCCTGGCCTGCTCCCTGGTCCACCCCTGCCTCCTCTCCCCGCGTCAGCCCTGGAGTCCGGCCCAGCCAGCTCCAAGGGGCAGCAGGCCTTCTTTCCCCCAGGCTCACCGGGGTGGAAACAAGGCCTTCCCCAGCTGTGGTGGAGATCACGGGGCCCTTCCCGTCACTACCCCACTCTCTCTCAGGGCCTCGGGCGTACTCGGCTGTGCCTGGCCCAAAGTTATTGCGGCTGCCACTGAGGAGGCTCTCGGGGCCGTGGGCATGCCCTCGTGCCTGGCCCGAGGTTGCTACTGTTGACGCTGCCGAGGCTCCCGACTCCTCCCGTGGTCCAGGTAAGTTGGATTTGCGGGGGAGAAGTCCGGGCACCGGGACTTCGCTCAGCCAGGGGTTGGAGCCAGGTGAGCCCACTGCCCCGCGTGAGGGGCCGTCCCCAACCCTGGACAGGTTTTAACCAAGCTAACACAGTTAGACAGTTTTCGCTTCACCCCGGTGTCAGGATCCACAGCAAAACAACGAAGTACACGCTTCCAGGAAGGTTTTACTTTTATCGAAAAGCTATAGATGCAGTAACATGAACACTGTTAGGAAAGGCGGGTTACCTATGCGCATAATAGGATATAGGGCATTCGTATGCAACCCCCCCACACACACGTAGTACCCAATTAGATGGGCTCCCGCGCACGGGCATTTGGCAGATAACTAACGGCTGCAGAAGCTGGGAAAGTACTAAGCTTCCCACGGATTCTAGACACACCAACTCCTCCAGTGGCCTTGAGAGATATGCGTTACAGCTAAGATGCAATTAAGCGCATGGGAAGGAATGCACAGCAATTAGAAACATACACCACATTCATGGCAGCATAGCTGACACCCGGCCTCCATCCAAATTAAAATACCTTTTCATTTTTTAAAAATTATACTTCAGTGCCAGCACAATAAAATGCACAAACCCAGGGGGTGGGAATGGAAAATTTATCAGTAAAATATTTAGGACTAACGTTTTTGCATTGGAACTGGGGGCATGAATCCACAATTCAATTTTGTTTGGATTCCCAAGAAAAAATGACAGGGTTTTAATCCAAAAGGCTTACTTAGGCGATGGAAGCTCTCCAGAGGCACCTTATCTTCCTCCTCCTCTTCTGTCAAAATGTCACCCACCGACCAAGGACTTGCTGCAGAAAAATAGAAACAACAGTTAAAATGAAGGTGGAAGAAAAGGTTAGAAAATAACACCAGAGGCCTTAACGTACTTAACAGTAGCTCCAATTCTAATCCCCTCTATTGTGAAGCTCAGCCAGGGGTAGTCGCAGTCTCAGCCTAATCTACCTCACAGGGCTGTTGTGAGGGCCAATGAGGGGGAGGAAGAACCACGGGAACCAGTCAGATCCATATAGGTGCAAACCTCATCCCATAGAAGAAGAAGAGGAGATTGGATTTATACCCCGCCCTTCACTACCCAAAGGTGTCTCAGGGCGGCTTACAAACTCCTTTCCCTTCCCCTCCCCACAACAGACACCCTGTGAGGTAGGTGGGGCTGAGAGAGCTCTGACAGAAACGGCTCTTTTTCAAGGACAGCTCTTATCAGAGCTACGGCTTACTCAAGGTCATCCAGCCAGGTGCAAGTGGAGGAGTGGGGAATCAAACCCGGTTCTCCCAGATTAGAGTCCGCGCACTTAACCACTACACCAAACATAGCAAAGCTTCTCTTTGGGGCTGTGACCCTTAAACCATAAATGCCTTTTTAAAAAGACTTTTACAAATTTGACCCATCAAGTGACCAGATCTGTTTAGACTAGACAGCCAACCTTAGAAACAAGCCTCTCCCAGGGAGAAGGAACCCCTCACCTAGATAAGTTTTCTCCCTACACCCCCCCCCCAAATAAACCTCATTTTCATACAATGTTATTAGGAAAAGTGATTAAGTGTTTGGTTTTCTTAACAAATCATATCCCTCTTCTCCGCCTGGCAGGGAGCCAAGGCAGCTTATCACGCTGTTCTTCCCTCCTCCACTGTATCTTCACAACCACCCTGTGAGGTAGGTTAGGCTGAGATGCTATGATGGACCCGCAGTCACCCAGTGAGCTTCCATGGGACAGGTCAGATTCAAACCCAGGATTCCTCTGCTAGGACCCAAACGCCCATGGTCAAGGGGGGGAAAGGGTTTCATTACCACAAGCAGGATAGAAAAGGTGTAAATACCTTCAGCGTTTAATGATTTCTCCCTCTGAACACCCGTCAAGACTTCTGTACTTGCAGGCTGTGGAACTGGATCTACTTTTGGCATGCATTGTTCTGGTCAAAAGACAAACAGCTCTGAATCAGGGATATTCAAGTTCTACAAGATAAATGGATGTTACTTGAGGCCTCTTTATGCATGTAGGGACACCTCCCAGTTTGCTTACACATGACACGTCCGTCCCCCCCCCACACACACACACACAGACACACGTACTCAGTCCCCTCTTAGCATGGCAGAAGCGGTGTTATTATCGAAAGAATGGGAGCTGGTGCCAAAGAACTGTACATCTGCCCAACATTTAGGACTTCAGCAACCCCCCCGTAGGGCTCCTGCAGCTAAGCTCAGAATGGACCCAAATTTATTTATTTATTTATTTATTTCTTCAAACTTCCCCGCAAGACATAACATGCTCCAAAAAAGGCAGAGATTCGGAGTGAAAACGTTTCCAGGATATTTTCAGAACTTTTCCACAGAAATGTTTCCATTTCTAAAGAGCCACTCCTTAATCAAATTAGTCATGATGAAATGGGTGTCACTGCCAATAAAATAAAATACTAGGAAACTTGGCAGTTTCGAAGTTGTAGTTAATGTTTCTCAAGGGATCCTCACCAGGAACTATGAGACAGAGGGGCTGTGGCTCAGTGGCAGGGCCTCTGCTTGGCATGCAGAAGGTCCCAGGTTCAATCCCCGGTATCGCCAGTTAAAAGATCTGGCTGTAGATGATGTGAAAGACCTCTGCCTGAGACCCTAGAGAGCAGCTGCCAGTCTGAGTAGACAACACTGACCCTGATGGACCAGGGGTCTGATGCAGGACAAGGCAGTTTGATGTATTTCATGAGAGTGTACCTGTGTGTTTTACTAATCTTGGAATGGGACGGTGGGGCAGGGAATAAAGCTATATACACATGGCTGAAAATGCTTTTAACTATTATTGTAAGGCGCCTTGAACCATGAGGAAAGGTATGATATAAATGTTTTAATAAATAAATATATAATTAAATATTTAAGATAATTCAATCAACAATCCAAAGGAGGATTCAGGACAAATAAAAGCATAGACTACACCAATGCATCAACAGTTTTCAGTGTCTTCATTTCCCCCCCATAAAGTTAGAATAATGTAAGAGAAATACCATACTATACTGTCTTGGCATTTTCACAAGCAGTACTGCCATTTAAAATAATTTCCACATAAGGCTTTGAAACGGTTTGAAAATAATTAAATCAAATTGTTTTTCCCTAAGCAAGTATGTCAGTTCAAATATTTGCTGCTATTGAGATGTAAAATTAATATGTCGCATCTTTTAAACTTGTTTATTAAAGGACAGTCATGTAAATATGCTACATCACATCACACTCTGTTCAGCACATTAGAGGCACCAGATAATTTGTTGGAAAATTGTCCAGTTCTAATTTTTCCAGAACTCTACATGACAGAATAGGAAATGAGGGAGGTAAAGAAAAAATCAGCCCACCTTTGTGCTTCTTGTAGCAAGGCACCGAACAACTGCAACAGAAGAAAGGATTTTAAAAATGAAATGCAGATCAGCACCTAAGATAAAGCCATATGGACCAGACCACCAGTCCCGCATCCCACTTCCTAAAGCAGCCAGCCAGGCCACTGTGGCATGAAGGTAACAGTCCTCTCATCACATCCCCCCCCCCAGAAGCTGGTATTCAAAGGTAGACTATCGTTGAACATGGAGGTTCCATTCTTTATTACCATGGCAAATAAGAACTGCCGTGTTGAACCAGATCAACTGCCCATCTAGTCCGGCTGGCAGCAAGCCAGGAGGGCAACAGATCTTCCTATCCCATTTGCTCTTCAGCAACTAGAATTCAGTGATAGGCTGCCTCTGAAACTGAAGTTCCATTTCATTGTATTAAATGCTGTCACGACTCAGGTGGGGAGTCACCTGACGCTGCCACCACTCTGGTTTTAGGATCCCTTGAGAAGGCCCAGAGGACCCTCCCAAGACCTTCAGACCTCCCTTATTTGGCCAAATAATAGGCGTGAGGACCAGGCAGAGTGAACAACAAATAAGAGGTTTATTTTTACAGGAGGTCAGCCCAATATGGGAAACAAGGTGCAAGAAGAATAGCGATAAGTGGGTGAAGAGAAAAGAAACCAAATGCCCTAACGCGACCAGACTCACAGTCCCTAGTTCATTGACTCAGTTGGGCTTGAGTCTGCTCACCCTTCCTTTTAGGGTGAGGGTCTCTCCCAGCAGCAGCCTTCCCTCTGGCCCTGCTCTCTTGGAAGAAAGAACAGCTCTTCTTCTGTGCCAGCTCTTTTGTTATAAGGCCCTTTTCTCTGTGATTGGCTAAAACTGGTGTCAAAACCTCTCGGGGGCTTCTGGGAGTTGTAGACCTGGCCTCCTCCCACTGCGACTCAGGCTCTCTTGGCCTGCTAGGCCTCTAGTTGCACAGCCCAAATCATGCACAGGATGAAAAATGGCATTCCTAGTATATAGGGGCTGTACAAGATGAAGAGCAAGTCCAGTGGTTTTCAAGCTGGTGTGTGTGTGTGATAAAGACACCTAAAGTGCGTAATGTTTCAGGGAGGGAGCAAATCTTGCCGCAAATAGATTTCCAAAGGAAGGGATGCCAGATTTGAAAACACGCACGTCTCTCCATCCTGGATTTACGTCACTAAGGTAACTGTATGACCCCAAGTTCCTGGCAGGAAGGAGCTGGCTCACTGGTAGAGCATCTGCCTTGCATGCAGAAGGTCCCTGCGTCTCCAGTTAAAGGCTCGCAGGGAATGGGAGTTGGTCCCATGCTGCATAAGGCGGCTTTGTGTATGCCCACTCTGCACGTGCACAGAGGTAGTCCGCTGCTGCTTCACAGGCCCTAGGCCCAGGGCTTAGCTCCTAAGACTGGAAATAGGATATGAAGCCAAACAAGACCTAAGTTCCTCCTCCTGGGTCACATTCTGTGTCAAATTTCAGATTGTCCGCAGCTGGGCCAGGGACCTTAATGCAACTAGCTTAACAATACCACCAAGCTACTTGGGGGTTCTAAGAGGTAACTACATGTTTATGATATGACTGGGACTCTTAGACTGGAGACAGACTACAGTTTTCCCAGGATAAGTTTGGAAAATGTTGCTTCCCCCAGTCTACACCAGCGTTCCTCAGTCTTTGGACTGGACCCTCATGGCGGAGGGGACTGTGTAAGACCCTTAGCAAGTCAGGGGCCATGAAGTCACGGGGGGGGGGGATAGTGGAGTATGCAGTGAAGAAAGCCAGATCTTTTTCTCCCAGCAACTGAGGTTCCAGCACCACAGCCATTGAGGCTAGATGGATGTGGCAGAGAATATACAGAAGTTATCCCTGCTGTAGCTTCTTCTGCCCCTGCCTGCCTGTCTTCAGGAAGGAATCTGAGACACCTTGTAGTGTTGGGAGCATCGGACTAGAATTTGGGAGAGCCAGATTCAAATCCACACGCTGCCGAAGAAGCTTACTAGGTGACCTTAGGCCAGTCACACACTCTCAGCCCATCCTACCTTGCAGAGTTATTGTTGCAAGGAGAAAACGGCGGAAAACTATGTCAGCTGCTTTGGATCCCCGCTGGGGATAAAAGCAAAATATAAACTGTGCTGCACCAGCTACACTGGTTACCGGTGAAGTACCGAGTCAGGTTCAAGGTCTTTGTGTTGACTCTTAAGGCCTTGAGCAGTCAGGGACCCATGTTCCTGTTAAATGTTTTAATGTTTTAAATGTGTATATGAATCCTGGCACACTGTGCCAAGCAATGTGAGCCGCCCTGAGCCCGCTTGCGGGGAGGGTGGGCTATAAATGCTACAAATAAATAAAAATAAATGTACCTTCCACCTCCTCCAATACGTCCCCAGAAGAGCACTGAGATCAGCTGATGACAACTTACTGGTGATCCCCAGCACTAGGGAGGTCCGGTTGTCCTCGGCCGGGGCCTTTTTGGTTCTGGCCCCGACCTGGTGGAACTCTCTGCCAAATAACATCAGGGCCACGCGGGATCTGATGCAATTCCAAAGGGACTGTAAGGCAGAGATGTTCCGCCAGGCTTTTGGTTGAGGACAGTAAAACAGTAAATCACCGTGTACAATTAAACAATATTTGTTGGTTTTTATATGCAATGTTTAGAATTCAATTATTAACAAGATTACAACAATAAGACTACAATATGCGATATAAAGCTTAGCAGTACATACAAAGTAATACAGTAGTAGTTACAGACAAACGACGGAGTTCTAGTACACTATCCGTTTGCGTGTCCTTCATCAGGCTACACACACTGATTCCATCAGGATTAAATCAGGAATTAGACTTGAGTTCTTTTCTGTAAATGGTCAGGGTACCTTTAAGATAGAACATGCCATCTTAAAACATAACACCTGTTGCAGCCTACAAATTTTCCATTGAGACATTATGCCACACTAAATGAAGCTTAGCCAATTATTATATGCTGTAGACCCAGTCACATTAGAGCTTGCTATAGGAGCTCCTCAGTCACCAGGTTGGTAAATTTCTCTTTATTTTGAAATTTTTTTGTATGTGTTATCATTGGAGAATTGTGAAATACATATTGTGCTTGTCTGCTTTTTTCTAGAATCTAAGCGTACATCAAAAATTGTATAAGAACTAGCATTTTGAAATATGGGTGAGTTTATAAAATGTAAAATGCTCCTCTGTATATTAAGAGTAATTCTTATGTTTTTGGTTATTAAGCATGTTGCACTCCATTGCAGCTTGCAGGACTTCATTCTAATGAAGAAATAACTACAGAATGACAAACCTGATGAAGGACACGCAAAAGGATAGTGTACTAGAACTCCGTCGTTTGTCCGTAACTAGTACTGTATTACTTTGTATGTACTGCTAAGCTTTATATCGCATATTGTAGTGCTATTGTTGTAATCTTGTTAATTGAATTCTAAACATTGCATATAAAAACCAACAAATATTGGTTAATTGTGCACAGTGATTTACTGTTTTACTGGCTATTACACCCCGTGGTCCTGTTTCTTGGTTGAGGACAGCAACAGTTAAAACCGGCACCCTCCTTTTTTACTTTTGGCCCTGCGTTCTCTTCCCCACCCTGCTGCGCAGAGAGCCTGGCAGCTGGCAAAAGGGATCAATCACCATCTGGACTGATTGTTTTATTAGTGCACTGTAATAATTTTATCATGCTGGTTGTATTTTATCTGTTTTAATGCTGTAAGTTGCCCTGAGTCCGCTTGCAGGGTTGGGCGATTCAGAAATCTAATAAATAAATAATCCCCTCCTCATGCCTTCCCCCAAATCCTTATACACACCCATGCACCCACCTGCCAACACTGTGCAAAAAGATGGATGCCGGGGAGTAGCGTTGCCAACTTTGGGTTGGGAAACGCCTGGAGATTTGGGGGCTGACCCTGGGGAGGGCAAAGTTTGGGGAAGGAGCTCAGCAGGGGCGTGTGCTGCTCTTCCGTCCACCCTCCAAAGCTGCCATTGTCTCCAGAGTGACAAATCTTTGCCGTCTAGAGATCAGTTACAATTCCGGGAGAACCACGGGCCCCACCTGGAGGTTGGCAACTGCAGGCACAGAGAATAATAATGATTATCCTATGGCAGTTGTTCAGGGCGTGGGAGCTGAATTCCAGAAGCTGGCACACTGTAGGGGGGGTGGAGAGACCGGTAAGGGGATCAAGCCAAGCGCGGGTGGTTTGGGGCTCAGAGGGCGCCAGGAGCCCTGGGACGCTGACCAAACACATAATCGAAGCGGAACCAAAAAACCCCCCCACACACACACACACGTCACTTCCCCCGGATCATTCTGGGAGTTGTGGTTCTGACCAACCATTCAACATTCCCTTCCAAATCTTCAGCACGCTCAGCAAACTACAACCCCCAGGATTCCGGGGGGGGGGGAAGGTGTGTGATCGCAAAGGATCACACACACCCCGCGTCCCCGCCCAGCTGTGGTCGCTTTGCCCAGGGCGGCCCTTAACGTACTGCATCTCGTGGAAGCATATGCGAAAGGAGAGTGACTCTGAGCGTACGCAAAGGGCACTTTGCCCCCGAGACTCCCCAGTGCCGCGGATGCACGGGAAAGGAGCTTCTAACGCCACTGCTCCTAATGGGGGACGGGCGCAGACCGAGGGCGCCTCTGAGCAAGCACACCCGCCTCGATTCCACTCCCCCGAGTGCTTCTGAGCCTGTGCAGAGTCCCCTCCACCGTGGGCTAACCCGCGGGCCGTGGCTTGCAAAGCGACAATCGCAGGCGGGGGGACCTTTTCGTCTCGGGGCTCCGAGCGAGCCTGCTCCGCAGCCCCCGCCGCCCCGGCCCCGGCCCGGCTACTCACTATCGGGCCCTGCAGCTCGGACAGCGGTACTTGGCCGGGTTCGGGCTCCCCTCCGCGCACACGCTGCAGCGCCGGGCCTCCTGCATGGCTCCGGATGGCGTCGCTCCACGTGGGCTCTGCCAGGCCGGCCGCTCGGCTTCCTCCGCCCCCTCCTCTGGGGAGCCAAAACGGACCGCCCCCTCGATGGCCGAGGCTGCGCGAACTCCTGGGGGCGCGCCTTAATTCGGAGCAAGGCCCTCTTTTGGAGGCCTCCGCGTAATGATGGGCCCTTTCTGCACTCTCCTTTTAATCCACCAAAATACACGAACATCGAGTTCAACCTTCTTTTTATTCCGTCCCCCCCCCCCACACACTTCTGTATCAATACCTCCCGTCTCTAGTTCCACCTCCTGCCAACCTAGCAGTTCGAAAGCAAGAAATTGCAAGTAGATAAATAGGGACCACTTCGGTGGGAAGGTAACAGCGTTCCGTGCGCCTTGGTGTTTAGTCATGCCGGCCACGTGACCACGGAAACGTCTTCGGACAGCGCTGGCTCTTCGGCTCTGAAACGGAGATGAGCACCTCAACCCTAGAGTCGGATTCGACTGGCTTTCGAGCAAGGGAAACCTTTACCTTTTGCCTAAATAGCCTAGACTCAAACACTGAGACAATTCGGAGTGGCAGGCAAATTTATTTATTTATTTATACATTCGGCTTATATACCGCCCTGACCCTGAAGGGTCTCTGGGCAGTTTACATACAAAGTCTAAGTCTACTTTTTCTCTATCTATGGCCACATGGTACAGGGGCAGGGGCTGCCTACCGGCACGGCTAGGCTACAGCTCCTACTTCTTCCGTGGTCTTCGGGGTCAGTGCTTTCGTCCTGGCGTCCAGGGATAGGTCTTCCATTTTTGGGTGGCTTTCTTCGGCGGGCCCATCTGGTGTGCGGTTTGCGTCAGCACGGCTCCGGCTAATGTCCATTTTGGCTCCGCGGAAAGGACCGATGAGAGGGGTTTTTGTTTGTGTGTTTGTTTGTTTGTTTAATCCACACGCCCATCAAAAAAAGTCGACCGAAGGTGTCCACCGACGGGTCTCGATTTCGCCTTTCAAAGCAGCAAATTTAAAGTTCCATATTCTGAAAAGCAAAAAAAAGAAGAAGAGATTGGATTTATACCCCGCCCTTCACTACCCAAAGGCGTCTCAGAGAGGCTTATAAACTCCTTTCCCTTCCCCTCCCCACAACAGACACCCTGTGAGGTGGGTGGGGCTGAGAGAGCTCTGACAGAAACTGTTCTTTTTCAAGAACAGCTCTTATCAGAACTGTGGCTTGCCCAAGGTCATCCAGCCAGGTGCACGTGGAGGAGTGGGGAATCCAACCTGGTTCTCCCAGATTAGAGTCCGCACACTTAACCACTACACTACTCTCATAAGCCATATTTCCCGACTGACTGCTTCAAACAAGTGATCCCTATAACAAATCTCATATGAAATACCCCCTACTATTGAAGCTGTGATCATTGCAACTAACTAGTGATTAACTGTGATCATTGCTACCAACTTCCTTTTGGGAAGGAAGGAAGACCCCCCAAAACGTCATGCCACCTCTCTGACTCTTGCCAGCCTCCAAGTGGTACAAAACACAGTGAGACACGCAGTGGAAATGTAACCAGCAAAACAACTTGTGTATAAAAAAAAATTGTTTTCCCTAAACAAAGATAATTAAACTACTCAAACTATTAAATGAAAATAAATTTCATATCGTATACACAATTTATACATACAGATTCCAAAGCTATTCATATACCAACAATATCAGATTCTCAAATCATAGGGCAAAAAAACCCACGTTCTCACAGTCCATCACAGGCTTATAAAACACTGTTGAAGGCGCTCGGGTGTCTTCAGTTTTCAGAAACGGAAGCCATGTTCCAAGTTGAAACTAGACAACCGAGCCACAACACTAATATCCAAAACGGCAGTCCCGATGAAGTCCTCCTAGTGGCACGCTAGCAATGTTCCATATTTTACCTGGCAAGGCTTTTTCAAGAAGGAACCACTTTCTCAAAACAGGATATCATCAAAACCAAAACTCAGGCATATTCTTCCTCTGCTCTGGTGAGTGCTACATACAGTGACAATGCTATAGAAATGAATCAATTAAAAATGAGTGTCATTGTTTGGGCCTCTCCAGCTGCTGGGAGAAAAGACATAGTTATCATTCGACCTTTCCTAGGAAGTTCTAAAAGTCCTTTCCCAGCTTCTTCCAGAGATGAGATGGCTATTATCACTTTTTCCTGACTCCTAGATACGTGCTGGCATGATTCTTCAAGACTGGCCACTCTACTGAGCTTGGTTTGAAGGGCTTCCTCCAACTGAAGCCATTCTTCCCTTAATAGAAGAGCCGCAACACACGCGTTTACAAAGCGACTTCCACCTCAGGAATGTAGTATCACAGTTTGCAGCCCCACAGGGTAACTGCTGGGTTTGCACTCTGTGCAGGCACAGAGGTTATATGGAGCTCTTTGCTGATTAGCTGGAGGAAAGCCAAGAAACAAGTTGGTGTGAGACGTCTCCCTCATGGAGAGGATACGGGAAATATGGATGACCTTGGCCAGAGGAGGACACCCCCCCAAAATCTTTGTAATGACAACAGCCTCTTACCCACCAGGGTTCCTCCGTTTTGGGCAGGAGGGAAGAAATCTGCTGAGCACTTCTGAGAGGCAGTGACACAGTCCATAGTATGATTCATTTGGATGAATGAGGCCTGTGTTCAAATTCCGTCTCATACATAAAACAGCACACATTTAGTAAAGACCTGACAAAAGCATAGCTGGAAAAGAAGGCTGTGTGGATGAAAAGGGTGATCACAGCCTGCCAGGGCCCATGGAAACCCCCAGGGCTTCTCCACAGGAATGGGTGGGGGCAGGGGTCATTTCATAGAAAAAGAGGTGCAGGAACTTATTAGCATAACTTATTTGCATATGCAACACCCCCTGACATCACTGGAAGTGTGTCAGAAGGCAACACCCACCGCTCAGGCTCCACTGGACTGTTTTGGACTGCTAGCTTTTTGGGGGGGGGGACATGCAGATCTGCCCTCACAGAGTACGGAGAGCTTGTACCTGAAGGCCTGAAGGTGGGGAGCTCTGCAACTTCCCTGGTTGCTTCTTGCTCCTTGTGGCCCGACTAAGGGCTGCTGGGAGCAGGGGGCGGGGCTTGCTGCATGTGCCACACCCCCTGGGCTCCTTACTGCTGGAGCTCCACTCCTGTGCACTCCCGCAGGAAATGACCCCTGGGTGGGGGGCCAGGCAGAGAGCTTGCAGCTTCCCACAATAGGCTCAGCCAGCAGGAGCAGCATGGATTAGCCAGCTGCGGAAGGGTGGGTTGTTGTGGGGTATGTCCTGAGGAGCTTTCAGGGTTGGGCAAGTTTATTTATTATTTATTTATTGTTAACATCTTTACCCCGCCCTCCCCATGAACGGGCTCAGGGCGGCTTACAAGAGGGCACAAGCCCATACATAAAAACAGGATAAAACAGTAAAACCATTAAATAGCAACAAAAACAATAATAAAGTGCTCCATACAAACAAGATGGTATCAGTCATTTCATTGGGGTGATATCGTCCTGTCGATGGTCCAAAGCCAGTCCAGCAGTATAGGTGCCATGCAAGATTGTGGCAGATCTTCCGGGGACTGTCCCTAACCCCGTTATCTCCACCATTGATGGTGGTGGTAGTGGTAGTGTTGTTGTGTGATGCCACCTCCAGCTGCATAACCGGAAGTGACATCGTGTGGAGTCATGACATCACTTCCCTCCCTCCCTCCCCCCTACAAATTCTCCTGCTGTTGCACTGGGTTGTGGAGGTGCGGGGAGGGCTCTGCAGCTTCCAGGGCAAGAGCTAGTGACCCCAGGCGGATGGCAGGGATTGCCACAGGCAAACTGAGGAGCCTCAGTCTGGGTGTGAGTGAGTTCTGGGACAAGACCTGAAGGAAACTTCATGCTGCAGCCAAGAACTGGACCAGCGGTGGCCACACTGCGGCTCGGGAGCCACATGCGGCTCTTTTGCGCGCATTCTGTGGCTCCCGGCAGGGCAGCTGGGGAAGCGAAAGGGAGGCATGTCTCCCAGATTGGTCTTCCCTTCTCCAGCTGGTGTTCCCCTCCCTGGGTAGGCTTGAGATAAGGGGGAGAAGAGAAAGAAAGCAACTTTAAATGCATTCTTAAAGACCCTCCTCACCAGCCGGGTTGGAGAAGGCATTTGTCTCTTTAAATCGCTTCTCCAAGCCAAGCCAGCCAGCGTGGGGGTCTTGGAAGATGCCTTTAAAGTTACAGTTGCTTTCTTTTCACCTCTCCCTCCCCCCATCTTTCTTTCTTTCTTTCTTTCTTTCTTTCTTTCTTTCTTTCTTTCTTTCTTTCTTTCTTTCCTTTCTGCCTGCCTGCCTGCCTGCCTGCCTGCCTTCTCTATCATCTATCTTTCTCTCTCTCTTTCTCCTCTCCCTCCCCATTTAAATTTAAATATCATTATCAATATCTGTTTTCACTCTTTTGTTTTGTTTTTTATTTTTGGCAGTCTCATTTAATGTTAATAAAAAGCAAATTTGCATATTTCCCAATAAAAACGTGTGTGTTATACTTGCCCATGTCTTGTGGCTCTCAAACATCTGACGTTTATTCTACGTGGCTCTTGCTTTAAGCAAATTTGGCCACCCCCGGACTGGACTAAGGGAGGTGGAAGAAAAGGACTGCCTTGAGGAAAAAAGCAGCTGTTTTAGACCAAGGAACTGCCTTGTGCCATTGGGTGACCCTGTCCACTGGAAGAAAGAGACCCTGGTGCTTTCTTTCCCGTTGATTTGTGTCACTTGCTGGGACATATACGTGGACCCTCCCCACCCTTCTCAGGACCCCTCGCCCACAAGTATGTTTTCAAATGAAACTCACAACAGAAAAAGAAACCTTTAATACAAGCACACATCACAACACATTGAAAATGCCCACACTCACATGTGCCATGCATGGTAGCCAAAGGAGGGAATTCTACATTCACAGAAAGGGGACTCGGTTGAAGGGTTAAACACCCCCTCCATTAGCACTGCTCCCTCATTCCAAACCCGCCCCGCAGCCACACTGAACTAAATGCAAAAGGGTAGGGGCCAGAGTTTCCTCTAAGCTGAGTTAGT